AACAAGGATTTAAAGGAAAGAACATTTTATATTGTGCAGAAAAAAGTGAAAAAATCCCTAATTTGATGTTTATTGCTCACAATAAAAAGCACACATCAAATGATTATTTTCAAAAAGTTTCAGTAATTTCAGTCCAGTGGTTCATGAGATATTTTGCCAACAATAAAGTTAAACACACACACACACACGTGCCTGTACAAGCAAGAACATTATTGTAATAATGTAATTTTTTTAATCACCCATAATTCACAGAAATCTAAAATTTGGTTTGGAATTAGGTGTAAGGCATCCTCAAAAAAAAATTTAAACGCTACATATCTTGCAGGAACTCACAATATATATTTTTTTAATTTAACCTTTAGTCTCATTGAGTCACAAGAGCCTCATTTTCAAGAGACCTGTTTTAAATAGCAAATGGACTGTACTTATATAACACCTTTCCATCTTATAAAGACACTCAAAGCTCTTTACACTACAATGTGTACCCTCATTTACCCATTCATACAGCACTCTACTAGATCTATACAAAGAATAATCAGAGCTTTATCACATTCATACACCGATGGGACACACATCAGAGGCAGTGACGGGTTCAGTGTCTTGCCCAGGGACACTTCAGCAAGTGACTGCTGGTGGAATTGAGCCCTCAACTCTCCCATTAGAGGACGACTGCTGTAACCACTCAGCCACAGCTGCCCCATTTTAGTAAGACAACATATAGAGTACAAAAAAGCAATAAAAGAAAAAGTGTTTTAAAAACACTGTTACTGTTAGCAGCATGGGCCTGTGAGATATCACATAAGATTGTGCTCAATATAAGTAGGGATGCACCGATCCACATTTTTTAACTTCCGATCCAATCTCGATACCTAAATCTAAATATTGTCCGATACCGATCCAGTTCCGATATCAATCATCATCATTGATTTTATATGAGGCTGTAATAATCTCCTCTCAAGTACAATTTGTACAAATATATGCATGCATGTCTAAAAAAGCAACTTGAGGTAAGTTTTTTTATTAATGTTGGATAAGTTTTAACGTTTGAATTAAATTCTGCTAACACAACACATGTTTCTTTTTATTCCTAGCTTTAAAGTGGATATTAAAGTG